TTGTGCATGACAGACCCTTGGCAACAAGCTTACAAAAGAGCTTTTCTTGGTACGGTAGTCTCATTACGTACAAATTAATTGTACAGATCATTCTGAATGGAGAGCTGCTCCTTCAGTCAGCGCCGGCCTTCAGCTGACTGCACTCTAGTTTCTTATGAGGTTCTATGTGCATTTGTCATTTGTCCATCTAAAAACATAATAGTGGGCTACTTAAAAGTAACTGTTGAAAGGAGACCAAAGATGATTTCAGAGTATTAATTAGTAGACTTTGTCGATGATTGTCTTAAGTACAATGTATTCTGGGCTGTTTAAAGTCTTCAGATGTTCTAATTACAGACACGGTAACACAATCACTCTCATGGTAATACAATCACAATCAAGAAGAGACATCGTAATGATGCCATCAATCATTATCATTCCCAGTAGGAAATTAGTCTGCATCCATTACAAAATATTCCCATAGACTTTTAATGAATTCCCCAAAAATAAAGGAAATGTATCTTATCTTTTGCTACCATCTTCTGTTTATTTGTTTGTGTGGTCTTTCAGTATTGGACTTGGATTGGCTGACGCGCCCGGCTGGACTGATTCATGTAACACTGCCCTCTAGTGTTTAGTGTAGTACCATAACCATCAAAACAGGTTCTTACACATCGGGGATTTACAACCTTCCTGAAACCAGAGACCCCCACCACTAACACGTGACCACATAAAGTAACTAAATGTGTAATTTATTATTTAAACCAAAATGGTTTATAGAATAATTTAATCTATTTACATGTACTTGACAATCACCTGGCACGTGGTCATGATTAAAAAAACAAGATTTTATACTTTTCCAAGCATTGTCTGAGAGCTGAAGGTGTGGCCCTGCCTAACTATATATTTGTATATCTAACAGGCGAAATATGAATTAAAAGAAGTGTCCATTCCTTAAACTGCAGATATTTCTTCGTGTCAGTGTGGAGTTATACTGACCTCTGGTGACAGACCTAAGAAGTGAAACAAGCAGTGATATTCAGTAGACATACACTACAGTATATGAACAAAAGTATTGCGACACTTGGCCAGTACTCCTACAGGAACTTTTATGACATCCCATGCTAAATCCATAGGCATCAAGTGATGCTAATATTATACAATTCCTTACCTATAAAAAGGACATTGCTGTCTTTGAAAAGGTTCAACGTAGGGCTACAATAATAATAATAATAATTGATACTTTATTGATCCCCGTGGGGAAATTGTTTTTACGCCTTTGTAGAGCAAGCTGTCCGCGAAGGGCAGCCACCCGTAGCGGCGCCCAGGGAGCTGGGGATTGAGGGTCTTGCTCAAGGACCCGCAGACGTGCTGAGGCTGGGCTTGAACCGGCGACCTTGTGATTACAGGCACACGGCTTAGCCCACTGAGCCACACGCTGCCCCAAGAATGATTCCTGGGGAGGAATGTCTTTTGACGAGAGGTTAGCTGAGCTGAATCTGTTCAGCCTCAAGCAGAGGAGACTATGTGGTGACATGATTCAGGTATATAAGATTCTAACAGGTCTGGATGCTGTTCAACCAAAAAGTTACTTCAATAGTACTTTAAATACAATTACACGAGGCCATAGGTGGAAATTAACGGGAGAACATTTTAAACTGGATTTTAGAAACCACTTCTTTACACAGTGTGTAGTTAGAGTATGGAATAGTCTCCCTGTTTGTGTACTGCAAGCTAAAACCCTGGGTTCCTTTAAATCAGAGCTAGATAAGATTTTAACAACTCTGAGCTATTAGTTGAGTTCTCTCCAAACAAGCTAGATGGGCCGAATGGCCTCCTCTCGTTTGTAAATTTCATATACTCTTATCAATATGGAGTTGGTCTCTCTTCTGGGAAGGCTTTTCACAAGAGTGTGTCTGTGGGATTTTATGCCCATTCATCCAGAAGAGCATTTGTGAGCTCAAGCACTGATGCTGGATATGAAGGTCTGGCTAGTTCTAGTTCATCCCAAAAGGTGCTTCCATACCGCTGGAACATTTTTCTGGAACCAGAAGCTTTTTTCGGAACCAGGAACTTTCGCAGTGTCCACACCGCAGGAACTCGGCCCGATTGTGGGTCCTTGGAGGCAGTTACGGAACTCTTTTTTAGCATCTATGTCTTATTGTAAGTTGCGGTATGTATTTCTTAATATAAATTCAATTCAGTTTCAATTCAATTTTATTTATATAGTGCTTTTAACAACAGTCATTGTCACAAAGCACTTTACATATAACCAGCCCGAATCCCCACCAAGCAAGCCATATATTGTGTCTAACTGTTTAAGTGAAATTATATATTGAAAATCAATGTAGAAAAGACATGACATGATAATTATTAGAGGAAAAAGAAATTGAGTAATGAATTGTAATGAAGACAGCTCAACATTTGTGATGTTTCTTGGGGCTCATTGCCAAGGGCGTAACTTTGGCTGGAACATTGGGGGGGGGTCGAGGTCTCCACCCATGACAGGGCAAACATGATTATTGAGGTGTTATATTGGCTGGATCTGATTATTGGGGGGGTCATGACCCCCCTAACCCCCCTGGAAATTACGCCCATGCTCATTGCCCAAGGTGATGCACAGTTGTGTTGATTTTGAGAGCGTAAAACAGATTAACGACTCTGAATCAGCTCAATGAAAATGTCGGTTTGAATTGTGAGCAGGCAGTTTCATCAAGTACAGAGGAATGCTTTGACAGGGTTACAATTCATAAGCCCCTTATACTTAAAACACATGAAATCTGGATAGAATACAGAATACTGTGCTCTGCTTAGCATGGAAAAAGTCATGATCCATTACCCTTTTACCAACAAGAAGAAGAGTACATGCGTGACATGTTCTGACATCTTAGTCATGGGGGAGAGCGTGTTTTCCCGGCATGGTTTAGGTCCCCTCAGGTGCACTTCTTCCAGGGCGATGAAAATCACATTCATCCTATTGTAAAGGATGACAGTGTCGCCATTCGCGGGGCAAAAGTGCTCACTGCATCACTCGATGAACAGAATTATTTTTATATAGTGTCTTTCCCAATATGGTTACCCCAATGTTCCTAACAAAGAATTATGAATCAGTGGCACTTACTGACATACCAAAGTTTAGGGTAACAGCCCTGTAAATAATATAAACTATATGCAGTGATCATCTCAGTGACCAAATCTCAAACTGCTTGGGAGATTCTGGAAGGAGTGCCTAACGACAGCAGGAATGATCCCCCTGCAGTAGAATACTGAATGAAGAATATAATATTTTCTTGTAGTGGAAAGTTGAGTTCTGAGTGACTGAATCCTTGAATCCTCGTATGACAGGTATCTCCTGTTGACACCTTGTATTGGTGTTTCCTGTGTGTTGGAGGATGATCTGCCGATTACCAAAAGGAATAATGTTACACTATTGGATTCACAGTCCAATGCAGGGACGTTTCTAGCTATTGAAAAAAAATCAGACGCTAAGTCAAGTTTACCTGGGGCTTGAATTATTATATTTTTTTTTTTGATGAAAGACTGGCATTGGGGCTAAAATACTCGGGGCTAGGCTTAAAATATTCGCTGGCTATAGCCCTCAGTGATTGGACCTAGTGACACCCATGGTCCAATGTATTAATTTTATGCTACTATACATTAAACATGTCTTTAAAACCTCTTGGATCACAATTTTATAGAAAAAAACATGTTTCTGAGTTTCTCTTAAAGCTTCTCTAACCACATGAGTACAGTGAATGCAGCAGTGGAACACTGAAGCTTTCTGAAGCACAGCTACAACAGAAGCTTTAGAGCATATAAACAGAACATGAAAATGTATGGTACTGCGATTATCAAAGGTCTTGCTCTAGATCTGGAGATGTAACATAGGTGAAATGGCAGAAAAAACGTCATGGACTATAATAGAATGTTAAGGTTTTAGTTTCACCACTAGAAGGCGCATGTACCCATTCAGTGCCATTGCAATGCCTCTCCTGTCTCAAAACAGTGCAAATGAAACATTAAGGGAACCTGATATTTTGAAGAGGCCATGGTGAACGGTGTATTTTGTTTTGAACTGCAATTAAGTTTTAAATATATGTAGTGTAATTCCAAAGCCATTGGAGCAATTTGAACCAATGTAGTGTTGTGAAAATGCATTATGCAAATAAAATTGAACTGAATTGAGACGATGCCCATCAAACTTATGAACCTTTTATTCCTAAATATTAATTATTAAAACTTCCTACTAATTGTAACTTATTTACCTCCTGTGCTGAGGTGTATTTGAATTTATTTGAGCTGAACTTTTGTCTTTAAATTTAAAAACAAAACCATTAAAAGCATTTAGCACTGACATTTTTTTCTTCAGATCCACTGGCTGCTGTCGATTAATTTAAATGCAGGAGAAATTGCACAATAATGACGTTTCGCCTTGTAATTCCTTCTTACTTAGGTCTTGTATCATGTGCATTGCTGTTTGTCAGTTTTTACCTTGACCCACATGACTAATGCTTCACAACCCATGAGGCCCCTTGCATGCTGATCACAATACACATTCTTCATTAAATGCACAGGTATGTCCTGCTGGAGAACCTGCTGGAAGAGCAAGGATGGGGCAGTAGGTGATATGAACCAGACACATGACCAAGCATTGCAAGGTCAGATCCTATGACGCTCAGAATTATATATGTATTATAATGCTGTAGCGAGCTGTACATCAATTAGAAACAAGTAGTTTGCCAAAGTCTGTAAATTAAGCTGCAGAATTCCAGGAGCTGACACAAACACTGACTGTTCTACATGTCTAAAAGATCGCCTTGAAGGGGCCTTTCGTAAAACATCCCATAATATTGACACCTTGATGGCCACTCCACTGAAAATACAAAGCTATTATTGGAGTACAATACAAAGATATTTTTTCTCTCAAATAACATAAAGCAATCAAAACTATTTTTCATTTCACATTTATTTACAGGTATAAAAATTTTTACGACAATATATATAGTTTAGCAGGTGCTTTCAGTTCCCTGTGTGTATATATTGACAATATATTATAGAAGTAAATTACTTTACAGATTTGCCTTCAAGCTTTATGTTTCCCCTATACTCTAAGAGGAAGAGGTAAATATTCAAACATCAAACTGGATAATCTCCACTTTTCATAGTCCACAGTTACGAACTTTTTCTTAAGTGAAGGTAGACTGGTTTTCTTTACACTTTGATAATTTCCCAAACCCAATTAATGAAAAGCAAAAATGATAATGTCAATACACTGATAATATAATACATACAAAATGGTGACATTTATATTTAACTTTAAGTGGAAAAACACACACACGCGTGTATGTGGACACACACACACAAATCTAGCTATTTACATGTTCAAACTATTTACATTAACGTCACTTATCAGCTACACCTTTAAAAAAATATTTCGTTCACATAAAAATGTTTCCAGCCAGTGCATTACCTTAGTTCATGGACATTTTCAATGTCGCTCTCTGTTTTAGAATTGCCTTCTTACAACACAAGAGGGAGACATTGTCATATTTGAACGTACTATAAATAACTTAACATGCCTTCAGCGTACACCCGTAACGTACTTGTTTAATAGGTGTTACGATAATTAGACGAGTAATTAGGCCAAAAAGGGTCAAGTCCTGTTTTGCATTCAGCTGGGTCTACATTCTAACATCTTCTTGAAAGCCTTCCTAAAACTGTCATCCAAGAAGGCGTACAGAAACGGGTTAAGACATGAGTTAGCGTAGCTCAAACTGGTGATAAAATAGGAGATTCCGATCACGAGTGGGGTCGTTTTGATATCCGTGGTGAGAGCCACGACGGTGCTAAGGTGGAACGGGGTCCAGCAGAACAGGCATACCGCCAGGACGATGAACACCATGATCGTAACTTTCTTCTTCGCCTTGTCAAGGGCTTTGGCGTTGGAGTTCAGCCGCATGTTTCGCAATTTGTAAAGCATCATAGTATACAGGATGCAGATGGTGGACACTGGGATGGCAAAGCCAAGAATGAGGGTGTAGATACGGCTGGCCTTGAACCAGAAACTCTCCGGGCTGGGGAAAGTCAGGACGCAACTTTTCCTATCCATGTTGTCGGGGTTAATATAAATGCCTGCGAAAACTGTGAAAGGCATGACGATTAGAATAACTAGCGTCCACACGCAAATGCTGACTGTTTTGGCCGCCCTGTAGGTGCGATGGGGCATACGCTTGGACTGCACCGTCGCCAGGACCACCAGGTACCGATCGACGCTCATTACCGTTAGAAAGTAGATGCTGGAGAAGATGTTATAGTGGTCGATGGAAAGGATGATTTTGCACAAGACCTCGCCGAAGGGCCAGTAGTGCAGGAAGTGCTCGGCGATGTTGATGGGCAGAACGAGCGTAAACAGGTCGTCGGCGATGGCCAAGTTGAGAATGAACATGTTGGTGACTGTCTTCATTTTGGGCGCTTTCAGAATTACATAAATCACCGCCGTATTGCCAGTCAACCCCACCGCGCAGATCACAGAGTAGATGACCGGCAAAAGGATATAAATATCTGGGTAAAAAAAGTACCCCGCCTGGCCAGTGCAATTTAAGTCGGTTCGATTGTTTGAATTGTTGGAATAATAGTCCAGTGAATGGTTACAGACGGTGTTTGTTCCGTCATACTTGGATATATTTTCCATCTTTTTTTTTTTTTTTTTTGCAGTTGGTAGGGCACACCCCAGTATTGCTGAAATATGGAATGAAAAAAGTATCTTACACTATTGCAATTTCCTTTAATTTTCCGTCAAATTTCTATCCTTGCGGTATTTTTTTATCTTTACATGCTGTTAAATATAACGCGTATACTTTGGAGTATGTCATCCTATACGAATTAAATACCAAAGAAACGAATAAATAATTGCCATTTAAATTATAGAATGATCAATACAAACTTATTAGGCCTATATTCTTTTTGTGCTATAAACTAGACTCTGGGTGTTAGGGTTAAAACAAGTAATATATGTAAACTTTTATGGCAGATGTAATTTATTTTTGTTATAAAACACACAGTTCATTGCTTATTAAAACTACGATACTGTCACCATAAATTATGGCGAATGATAAAATCAATTTTAAAATTCTAAAATCACCAACTCGCAAAATGAGCTTGTTTAAATAGGAATGACAATGTACACGCGGCTCTACGTAAATGCATATTCAAAATAAACAATACTGAAAGGTTGCTAGGGAGAAATATACATAAAAGGAGTATATTATCCTTACCGAAGCGACAAAGCTCGCGCTTCTCCTCTCAGTCCGGCGCGTGGCGTGTAACAGCACGAGCTCTCGGTTCGCCGAGCGCGCTGGATGAAGTGGGGCAAGTGCATGTATGACGTCATGTGCCCTGAGTTGTTTTCTCACTTGTTTTATCATTTACTCACTGGCCGCTAATTGGTGAATTAGTCATGTTATTTCTGACTGAGAGAAAAAAGCGAAATACCAAGAAAAAACTAATGCGTATGATAAGGCTCGAAGTTCCTACCACCTTTACATCGTTACTATTTGTTTGATCCGAGTCCCACCTTGGGTGTCTGAATTATGACTTCCCTGCTGCTTCTGTTCCCAATGCATCCTTTTGACCATTCACAGTTTATATTTGTGGATGTGGCTGCAGATGTGTTGCTGCTTTCAGAGTCAAGGTCAAATGTATCCGGGAGTCACAACATCTGATTAGATCCCTGACATGGACACACTGTAATCCTGTGAAGTTACTATTGTTAGTGTTTCCAGTGTGACCATTCAGATTCCAATTAACACTTGATAAGGCAATCACTTCTCTCCAGTAATTATATGTCTTTGCAAGCACTTAGTTACAAGAGGGGCCGCTCAGAGACATATTGATAAAAGATTCCCATTTAGTCTAGCAAATCAAGTCCTGTCTTCCCTTGTCAATGGGTGCAATTTTTTTTTACTCTATCCCTCATTTCAATTTGGAAAGTATGATAAAAATGTCTGATATCGTTTTTTAAATCCACCTCTCATAAGCACTTCAGCACAAGAATATATACTGTATATATATTCTTGGTGAACCTGGAAAATGTTCTAGGATGCACAGAGAACTGGTCTTTCCAACCAAGGGAACATTCACACATCATGTGCAATTTAGAGACACTGATTTGCCTAATAAGGTGTTTTTAAACTGTAGAAGGAAACCCACACAAACAGGAAAAACAAGGAGGCTTTCAATGGGACCAAAACCCACAGTCCTGAAGATGTCAGGTGACAGTGCTGCCCACCATAGCTGTGAAGTCTCCCTATTTTTGCCGGGAAACTACCGTATTTTACCCCTGTTTCCCGCCGTCCTCCCGTATTAGTATTTTCCCGTAAATCTCCCGTATTATAATATCATTTAAAAAAAAAAAATCCTCTGCCTCTCCAAACTGAACTGTAAGTAGCCTCGCGAGAACTGCCACCTGCAGTAGTCTACAGTTACAACATTAACCAGGTCATAAATGCGGAGGTTAAAATGGCAATGCTGTGTGGCAAAAACAACGTTACTTTCACCTTCTGTGATGACTTCAACAAGGATACAAAGTCTGCAACAAATCTGTATAATAAGTCATTAGTGAATGCCAGAGTGCCACATGAGTGAGCATGAGAAATTAAAAGGAAATGTGTAATGAAAATAAAATGTAAATGACAAGTGGTTATTTTAGATTTCTTGTACACGTCTTAAAATGTAAGGGATACTGGAGCTTGGTTGGGGTGGTGGGGTGGCTCGCGGTGGGTGCCGGAAAATTTCCCTTATTTTCAAATCCAAAACTTGACAGGTATGCTGCCCACTGGGTCAGCATGTCATAACCGTCCTGTTCCCGTCAATACAAACACATGCTTTATGGTTATGATTAAGCCTCTAGGGGTCACAGGCTGCCCCACTCGAAGGTCTCTGAGTCAAAGCCTCCCCTCTCGCATTCATCCACAACGTGCTGTTGACATGCCTTAAAGTTCAAGCACCTTGACACAAACTGATCCTCATCTAGATATTATTGGATGCACACACACACACGCACACATACTCCTATACTCTGTCATCCAGCTTGAATAACACAATCTCGAATATCAGGTTATTTCCATTATTACCATTTTCTAATTTGTTTTAGGTCCAACCAAGAAACCCAAACTTACCTCCCTAAAGTGTAAAAAGAAACTATTTCAGCATGACGAAGAACAATAAACAATCAGTGGGGCAATACCAGGGTAATAATTATGGATTTGTGTTTCTATACAGATATTTTTTGGCAGTATTGCGTTAGCAATAGACATCTAATTGTCACAGGCAGTACAGGGGCACAAACCTGGAGCAGATCCTGGTCAGGATGCCAGTCACAGGACACTTACATTATGAGCAGTTTAGAGACACCAGATAGCCCAACTGTATGTCTTTGGACTGCAGCAGTAAACCTGCACAATACAGGGAGAGCAAACAGCATACAGAGTAAAAGTCGTCAGCCTTTGAGATGAGAGGCAACAGTTCTACCCGCTGGGCCACCCGCCTTTTGGCAGCATGTTTTTTTCGGATTAAATGAGTAAAAATAAAAAAAAGGTCCCAGAGCAATTTAGTTTTATTGTAAGATATTTGGGTCACAGAGAAGACTATATAAATATTGAGGACACTTTAAATTGCAATTATTGATTTATTACTACCTTCTTCTTATTCTATTAATAAAAAATGTTACAGGTTATATCATTGTTGAATTTATTTAACCAAGAAGAACTTTTTATTGCCGCTGTGAACTTTTTACTGTTTTAATGTCATTAATATTTTTAGGGCTGATATTTCTTTTCCTGTTTTCCATCTTGTTATACTGTCTGTTGTGTCCTTCTATGTTCCCAACCACAATTTCAGTCTGACCTGCCTGTAAAATGACCACCGCAGTACCATGAAAGGGCAATGCTATGGCCTACAGTCTCTGTAAGCCTCAGGAGGCCAGTAGTAATCGGCATAAAGATTCCCTGAGATTTCCATTGCTTCCAAATCATTATTTTAGGCAAAACCATGTACTGCAGAGTTTCCCAATCCAGTCCTTGGGGATCTGTAGAAGTCCATGTTTTTTTGTGACACATAATATTTACTAGCCTAAGTACATACTATATCTGTAACATTAAAAGTCTTGGCTTGGGTACCATGCATCTTTGCCTTAGCAACCAGCCTCAGTCACGTATTAGCTGTCTTTGTGTCTGTGGAATCTTGCGTTTCTCACGATAACCATTTAACTTTTCAATGCCATTAATTTTGCATTCTTAATGATGAGTCCAAAATGTAGAGCTCCCTGTGCATACAGTAGTAACTGCACATACAGGGTCATAATTTAGATGGTTTGTATATTTTTTATAAAGGTCTTGATTGTAATTTGACATGCAAATAGTACAGTACAGTACAGTTTGTCTGAAATTGGCAATAAGTAGACTTTTTATGTTGTCGTTCAGGCCAGCAGACTGTTATGGTTTGAGGTTAAGGGTGCTCAAGTATTATTCGCAAATTTTCACATTCGTGGGGACCCCTAACCCTCATAAATCTGAAGAGGTTACTGTACTTCTAGGTGAAGATGTGATTCCCAGATTTCCCTTGATGGGTAGTGAGGCTCATCCCTCTGACTGAAGGGGAGAGCATCAGCCACCAGCTGCTTTCCTGGTCCCACTAGCCGAAAGATTTCCAAATATCAGTTGTGATGAAACTCATAAGACAAACCAGTTATATCCTAGTATCATGAGCAATACATGAACAAAACCAAATTTTATCTACAATTTCACCTCAGGCAGAAGAGCTACTGTTTTCTTTTTTCCTTGCTTATGACCCTCAACACATTTACAATAATAAACTGTTTTCATTAGCATTCTGAAGGGTATCATTTGATCTTCATGACAGGTTTTTCTTTGCATTCGTACAATTCTAACACACCAAATTGTTTTATTACCATAGATATGTCTGGTTTCCGGGCAGGTTTGCATCTATACTGATAGATACATAAGTATATTTTTCTGCATCGTATTACCAGAAAATTCACTAATGGTGAACTGACATTAATGTGAGGTGGGGACGGATATAGCGGTCAGGGACTCCCAACGAGGCAGAACAGAAACAGAGGTCAGGGACTCCCAGCGAGGTGGGACAGATACAGCGGTCAGGGACTCCCAGGGCGGCGGGACACATACAGCGTCAGGGACTCCCAGCGAGGCAGGACAGATACAGCGGTCAGGGACTCCCAGCGAGGCAGAACAGATACAGAGGTCAGGGACTCCCAGCGAGGCAGAACAGATACAGAGGTCAGGGACTCCCAGGGCGGCGGGACAGATACAGCGGTCAGGGACTCCCAGGGAGGCGGGACACATACAGCGGTCAGGGACTCCCAGCGAGGCGGGACAGATACAGCGGTCAGGGACTCCCAGGGAGTCGGGACAGATACAGCGGTCAGGGACTCCCAGGGAGGCGGGACAGATACAGCGGTCAGGGACTCCCAG